CGACGTCCCCGCTTCCAACCCTACACTACACCCCAAGCCCTAAACCCTGACAACCCTAACCCTGAATCCTACAAGCCCTTTCCGTGTACAGAGCGTTTGGCGGGTCCAAGTTTGAGAGAGTCTCTGAGAGCAACCATGCACAGGCTAGACCTTGTGTGAATTTACAGAAACAGGGGCCCGATACAGACGCCAGTATACTACCACCGCCGTTGTAGGGACTCACAAAAAGTGAGCCCTGAGTTTCAGAGACCCTGGAGGGCATACCACGCGTGGTTCAAGGTAGCGCCCCTGGGAGCCGTAGTTCTTCACGCACAAGGCGTGAGTTCCCTGTGTCCCAGTCAAGGATGCCGATGCTTTGCGCAAGCAGCAGGCTTTTTGCATTATTTGATTGTGATGAATGGTTTTCCGGTTCTCAAAGAATGTCGGGGAGTGTCAGGTGTACTCATGTGCTGTTTATCAGGGGGGGATACCTTTGGGTCAGGGTCAGCGTGTCGACCATAGGGGTCGCTGAGGTCCCTCCATGTTGTAAAGCCCCCCCAATTCTAAACTCTTAAACCCCAAGCCCCATTAACCCTAAACCCTGAACCTAGACCCCATATGAGCTGCAGTCAATATTGGGCTTATTAAGGAACCCGTAGTAGTGGACATACGGTACCCTCTTGTGGTTTAGTATAGTTCCGAATATCGTCCCCTGATAAGGAATCCCATGTCAATTAGATCATGTATGTAGAAAATATGGACTGTAGCGCATACAGCCCTGAAACCAACAGAAGAAACACGTACAACCCTCACCCTCACACCGTGGCATGTATCTTATATGTATATACAACTTCATATGTCTCATTTTTCTATATTTATATATACACACAATCACCGCTAGAGGCTCTAATTCTCACAAGCCCTTATCATGCTATATCTATCTCTACGTCTAGTCTTATGTGAATATATGCATATATCCATGTGTACACATCCCCTCGAACCGCTTAGCCTGATATCCCAAACGCATACATACATGTATACGTATATATATATATTTATATGCATGTTTATCTAGACCCCTAAACCCTGAAGTCTAACCCTAAGCCCTAAGCCCTGAGCCCCAAACCCTGAACCCTAAGCCCTAAACCCTAAACCTCAAGCCCTAAACCCTAAACCCCAAGCCCTAAACCCTAAACCCCAAGCCCTAAACACTAAACCTCAAGCCCCTAAACAGCAAGCCCAGGATGGCGAAGGCCGTGCTAAGCTTCCTTTTTGCTGGCGCCAATGCGCAGTTCCCGGGACCCGATCTGCCCTTCCCGCCAATGCCGTCCGAGGCGCTGACATGAAGGGTTGAGTTTTTCAGTTTATGTAGGGTTTAGGGTTTAGGGTCTAGAGTGTAGGGTGTAGGATTTTTTGATGAACGGTTTAGGGTTAAGAGTTCCAGGGCTTAGAGGAAAATTGAGGCTTTGCCACTTGAGGGTTCCTGTGCAGAGGGGAGTACATGGGGAGTTTAGGGATATCATAGGGTTCAGGGCTCACGGGTTGGCATAATTGCGACTATAAAGAAAGCAGGTGATAACCCAGCAAAAACTCTGCATGAACCTTGTTCAAGTGGGTTGATGGTGCGGGAAGGGTTTAGGGTTCCGCTTTTGGAGTTTGATGTTGTCAAGTTCTTATCCTGCCCTAGCACAAGTACCAGGAAGAGTAAGAGTAGCCACAGTAGCCGTAGTACTTGCAACTGCAACTCTGAACCTAAGACCCGAAATGCTAAACCTTACACCCCCTCAGCATCCCTCCTAAACCGCACCACCTCAAGCTAACCCCCCAAGCCCTAACCCCCAAACACCCTATATAGAACCGTATATAACCCTTATTATACAGGCCTAGCCCAATGTCTATTATCCCTATATAGCCCCAATATAGCCCCTATATAAGAACCCCAAATCCGTAAGCCCTGAGCTCCCCACTCCTGGTAGACTTTCAGGCAATCATTGGCCCTACTCTCAAGGACTCAACGTGACTGAGCTGCAGCAGGGGGTGGACTTGGAAGTTCCAAGGTTCGCGGTTAGTTCTCCTCGGGACTTAGCTTGGACCTTAGACCCTTAACCCTGTGGGATTCCCTTATACTCTATTATAGGTACGTAAGGGTTCACCCTTAGTAAGGGTCCTACGTGCCGCTATAGAGTTGTAATAAAGACATTCTACCCAAAGCCCCAAACTGCTCGGACCGCTGGTCCGAAATTGTGAAAAAGAGTTAAACCCTAAACCCTAAACCCCTAAACCCTAAACCCCCTACCCCTCAACAATTTCTACCAGGGTTCCAGGGAACTTGGAGGTTCTGGTTAGTTAGTTCTAAGGTGAGGGCGTAGGGTTATGTGAGCCATTGTCTAAACTCCTTGAAGGGGGGTATATAGGGAATTAGATAGGGGATTACTATAGGGATGATTAAGGGGGATGCTAGGAGTT